CACAAGGAGAGTAGGGCTTGGCTTCTCAGAGCAGTGCTTGGCAAGCACAGAGGCAGGAAACGCAGAAGGGAATGAGTCTGTCAGACTCATTTTCTTCTAGTTTAAATGTTTATTTCAGATTCGGGAGGAAGTGGAGTGGTTCCTTTCCATTTCCTCGTCTCTGGAACCTGCAAGTTGTATAAGGCTTAGAGAATCTCGCTCTACTGCACATCACATTCACAGGTTCACAGATGGAGAGACTCTTTTCAGAAAACCCCTGGTTTGAACAGAGCAGAATTCATAGCTGTCTGTGCCCTCCTAGGACCATCTCCTACCAGTTTAGACTGGAGCCTTGAGCAGGACAACTGAGAACAATGTGAAGAACAAGGCTGGTGGGCTCAGGAACATCCTATACCAGCTCACAAGGAGCAAAAGCCATGTCCCAGCTAACATTAGTCCCCAGCCCTGCCACGTGGCACATCTGAGGCCACTGCTCAGCTGGGGAGGTCTGACATAATTTGTGAATGCCACAGCAAGATCTGGTCCTGAGCCTACTTTCTAGGTTCCTGAGACTTACCATGTCTGACACCAGGGTGGCGTTTCACCAGCAAAACTTAAAATATACCTGTTTTAGTAATAAATTTTCAACCTTAAACATGCTGATTTTTCAATCCACACTCTGATTTCTCTCTCTCTGTTTTTTTAAAGCCAGGCTATTTATCTCACTGCACTCACCAGCTGGGCTCCGCAACTTGCTTTATTGTCTACGCAATTGACAAAGGTCATCGCTAATACCAAATGAAGACCATCAGAAACCAAACTAGAAAATCTTGTGGTGAGTTTACTACTAAACTCTAACAGATGTGCCCGATTCTAACTGTAGGCATCAGGACTGAAGCATAATTTTAGGTACAAATTACTTACTGAAAATATTTATAGACAGAAAATTCTTCAGCAAAGGAGACCCTAAGACATTTAACACAGATTATCCTGTAGTTTAGCAATTGATAAAGAAGACAAACACTGTAAATGCATTAATTATGGTTTGTTTAGGAAAGTTTCAGGGCAGAGTGCTGCATCTAATCACCTTGGTTTTATCAAAGAGTTTTAAAAGATAAAAATCTGACTCATTATCTCCACTCATAGTTTAGATTTTGTGAGTTGTATTACCGTTTCGTAGTCACTAATCATATTCACTAAAATCTATGTGCACAAAGTACATCCCTGAAGTGCGACTATATTTACACTTACACATATATTTACATTTAGACATCCAATAGTACAAACTCATTTTTATATTATATCTACCATGTTCTGGAAGAACTCCTGAAATGAATTAACCCTTCCATATGTCAGAATTCCCTCCTAAGATCTATTTATTATGATATTTGTGAGCTAACAATATATTGAAGACATACTACATTAGATACCATCACAATATTCACTTTAGAAACCAAAAGAAGCCAAAATATAAATTGCATTGCCATCAGATTTTTTAAAACTTTCTCTATTGTTCATTAAATAAGGCATATTGATTGTAAGTACAGTAAAGTAACAAGCCTTTTTAATCAAGAAAAAACAGGACGAAGGGAGGAAGAAGAAAAGGAAAGATAAAGAAACACTGTAAAGATCATGAGACAAACATGTCTACTTGAAGATATTTTCACTGAAGTACACATAAGCAAGCTATGCCAAGTCATGTACTTTTCACACACAAAATTATATTGTATCAAATTTAAATTTGTTACAAGTGCCATGTACATTAAACAAGTGATAACGAAAATGTAACTCAATATCTGATCCAGTGAAACAGCAACCAACATTAGCGCCTAGCCACATGAAGACAATCTCCACTGCCATTACTGGTGTCAGCTAAACCTCAGCCAGTTTGTCCTCTCCAGCCATTTTTAAATAAATATGTGACTATCTCAATTAGGAAATCTTGAAGGAAGTCTCTATGATGAGGCAATTTTGTTGCTCATTCTAAGTGCCCTGCATTTGCTGTACTTAAAATAGACACTTGTACCAATGTCCTTTCTATTACCCGAAGGGGAAAAAAAATCACATACACACCAGTCCTTTTTCTTTCAGCTCGCAGAGAAGCAACTTGATCCAAACAGTGTTGAAACCTGAGTAGGTCACTGTACACCACGATAAAATTCCCTAATCCCTGAGCCAAATCTCCCCAAGGGGGGGCCTCCTCCTGATTCCCCACTTCCCAGGCTGACTTTTCCATTCGCTCTCTCCTCTTTCCCCCTTTCATTTCCCCTACCTTCAAGCCTTGATATGTGATCCGCAGTGGGGGCTCAGGTTTCCGTTTTTACAGCTTAGGCCGTGCTAGCTGTATACATTCCTTTCTTTCTGCCGGGCAGTGATTACTTACCAGGGCTTAGTTTACACTGGTCCAGATGAAAGCCGTTCAGATGAAGGCAAACACAGCCAGGCAACTCCAGCGGCACCGATATGAAGCTTCACAAGGCCACATTGTGTTCTCAGTGACATTTTGTTACACACATTTTTATACAGAGCAACCAACTTGTTATGCTACTCTACACTTTAGGTTTGGGGAGATGGAGGGGTAATAATACCCTGAGCTTTGAGGAGGAGTTTTATTGATGTGGTTATTAATATTAAAAGCAGAAAAATATTGATGTGTTCAAAATAACCCTTCCACCATTTGACTTTGAGAAGTCACTTTTTAAATGAGGACTTTTGGTGCTATTATATTTGAGGAATGTCTACTAAACTATTCCACTAGAAATGAGATTTCATGACTCACTGGTATGGTGTATGTTAACATGACTGAAGATTTCAGCCAGAGGTCTCCTATACGTTGTTCCAAAGCAGAGAAAATACTGATCCTACAGGCAATTGAATTATTTGCTGCATAAAGCTTCTTATTTAATGCTACACTGTATTGAAACGATAAGGATTAAAACTTCAAATAGTAGGTGGTGATTTGGAAGAAAAATAACATTTTAAAAAGAGGAAATTCTGTGCACGAAGGTTAATTCCATACTTAGTCCTGTAGCATCGGCTAAAAATTGTGTAATTTTTCCCCTTCACACAATGTTGTTTTTGTTTCTTCCTCACCAGTTCAGACAAACATCTGTTATACTGTAGAAGGACAACTATCTCCCAAACCACGGAGTACGCCCGCAGCCAAAGTCAACAACGCGAGCCCCAAGCATAGAGCACAGTCAGCCTTTATATCCAGCCGGGATAACATTTCACATGTTTTGATTAAAATTAGCTAATTTGTAATTCTAGAACCTATGAAACTTAAAAGCTGCCATCCATATAGATCACATTAAGCAGTGTTTTAAAGGGCCAGTGCACACTGCGATTGCCTAGTAGCTTCACCTCTCTCCTCTTCCTCCACCCCCAATTTAAAAGGAAAAGGAAAAGTGACCTGGAAATGCAGGACAGGGGGGAAAGGTAAGTGAGGAAGAAGGATTATTGTAGACTGTTTGAATTCTACCTCCATGGGAAGACAACAACTCCTACTGGTCTCTTTTTGAAAAAAAAAAAAAAAAAGCTATCATTGGAATCAATGGTGGTTTCCATCACAAGCAACGGCACTGATTTCCAAGGCAAATCCTCCTTAACTCTCCTTGGACTGATGCTGCACCTCATGCTTCCAGGTACTACGTGCCTCACCCAGCAAGAAAAACCCTAACTCCAAAATTTAGATTGCTATAGACATTTCCTAGAGAAAAGGAAAGCTAAGTATATGCACCTAGGTACACATATAGGACATATTATTCCACGTGCCCCTTTCTAAGCATGGGCTTCATACAAGGCACTCTCATAGAATATGCTTGATCTAATCAAGAAAACGTCAAAATGCAATAAATTTCACTTAGTTGCATGCCATTTTCATCCCGTTTGTCTTTTAAATACAAACTTCAGCAACCTGAACAAGTCGGTTGGCAGTATTAAGGATTCTATGCAGAAGATGGGGAACACCAAGACGGCTGCAGAATGAAAACTAAAGTCCCCCGAAATCTACTCGTTTTTAACTCACGGAAACAAAAAATACAAATAAAATATTTTTTTAAAAGAGAGAGAGACTCGTGAAATAAACACAGAATGAAACCCTCGCCTCGCAAAAACTGCAACTTCACGGAAAATAAGCGGGGACAGGGTGATCCGGAGCTGAGAGGTGCTCTTATGCAATCGCACCAACTCGAACAGCTGGAGCGCCAGGCTGCTGCGCTCGCCACCTCTGGAGTACCGCTGGCCTGGCGGGGAGCCCGGCCTCGCCGAGAGGACTCCGGGCTGGCCTTTCCGAACAATGGGCAGGCGCTCTGCTAAGGCCGCCCCTCAGACAGCTATCTTTCAGCGGGTCTTGCCCGGGTCGGCTTAACTGGGAAGTGAAGCATGCAAAGGCGAGCGGGAGGCGGAGGCAGCCGAGTGAGAGGCGCCGGCAGGGGCGGGCGAAGCGAGCCGGCCGTCAAAACGGTACCCAGACCCGAGCGGCTGGTGCCGCAACTCGCCCCGGCGCTGACAGCCTCACTACACCGTCGCAGCTGGCTACTCCGGGGAAAGCGGGGTCGTGGAGAGGAGAGATGAACTGGGGAGTAGGGTGGAACCGAGCGCTCCCGGGGTGCCTCGGCCCGGCAGCTCCTAACTTTAGAGGAATCCGAGGGATGGTTTCCGAAGAAGGGGGAAAAACTACACCACCGAGTAAGAAAACGTCTTCACCATGCCCAGTCGCCACTTGGGGCCCCGGTCCCCTCCCCCTGAAACGCGCCTGTGCCAAGCTGGGGTTTATAAGGTTAAATAGTATGTGGTTTCCAGGCCGCCCCTCACCCCCATCGAATCGGAGGTAGGCAAATCTCGGGGATGCAGCCCGCGAGTTGGCCTCTGTTTTGCACCTGGAGGAGGAGCTGAGGCGTTCTGGGCATCCTACTGAAACTGACAAGCGCTCCCTTGTACCCCCCAAATCCACACCACGGCCCAAAGGGAGCGGGCCGAAGAAAGAGCTCCGTCTCTCCAGCCCCGAAGTCCAAAAATACCTTCATTTCCTCATTGATCTCCCTTTTCACTGGGTGAGCCGGTTTCCTGCTCCTTTTATTTTCCGGAGGTCTCCCTTCTTTCTCCATTTCTGCCATGTTTTTGTGTCTGGTTTCTGTGGAGATGAAATGGCTGCTGCCGCCGCCGGCGGTGGTGGTGGTAGTGGTGGTGGTGGTGGTGGAGGTGCTGCTGATGGTGGCAATGCTGGCGGAGGTAGCGGTGCTGGCGGGGCTGGGGCTGGGGCTGGGAGGGGGGAGGGAAGGCAGGCGCCGGAGAAGCGGGGTCTCTTCTAGCGGCGGAGAACGTCAGTGGCTGTCAGAGGGAAAGGTAGCTCAAGGAGTCTCGGGGATGCCGCCGCCGCCGCTCCTGCTCCCGCTGCCGCCGCCGCCGCCGCCACCAACGCCGCCGCTGCCGCCGCTGCCCCTGCCGCCGCCGCTGCTTCTGCCGCTCCCGCCGCCGCCGCCGCCGCCGGGCTGCATCCTCGGTGCCCCGTGGAGTCGTCAGCCATCTTCCGTCGCTCTGTCCGTCTGCATGGGCGAAGAGAACGGGGGCCAAGCGCGGAGAGAGCTGCTCTGGGCGTGCGTGCGTGGATGTGTGTGTGCGCCTGGGAGAGCGCGCCAGCCCCGGCGCCTAGCGCCTCCCGCGAGTCGAGCCGGGGGCGGGCCGGGGGCCGGCGCGGGGAGGAGGGGGAGGGAGGGAGCCGGGGCAGGGAGGGGGCGGGCGGGAGGGGGAAAGGTGGGGGGGCTAGGACAGCCCCCAGCTCCCGAGCGGGCGTGGCTTGCACCGTCACTGTATACGCGGATGCTGCGCGGCTCCGGGGGCTGCTCGCGGCCGCTTGCTCATCCGCGGCGGGCACGGGCGGGACGCGGCGCCCCTCGCGGCCGCCACCTCTGCGCGACGCCCCCCGGGGCCGCTCGGACCCCAGCCATTCTCTTTAGCTCCGTGATGTGGGCTCGAGTGGGTTTGGAGTCGGTTTTTGAGCCCGTCCTAGAAGCTGCTGAGGAAAAATGAATGGGGGTGAGGGGAGGTGGTTGGGCAGTGGGAGGGAACAGGGACCCGAGGTCGCTGTGCGAGAGGACCGCTTTCCTTCCCCCCGGGGAAGGCACACTGAGCTCGCTGCCTCTGGATTGCAGCGCCGGGGTCTCGGAGGAAAGAAACCACAGCCCTGCCCTCCTCACAGCTGCCAGGATAGAGTGTCCCCCTTCGGGGGCCACCTCAGGGCGCATGGAGGCTGGAGGCCCCTTGGAGAGGTTCCCGCGCCGCGCTCCGCTGGTCCCCAAAGCGGCTCGGGCTACGGCTGCGTTTGCAAGAAAGCTTTTGCCTCTCAATGAACCACTTGGAAGTAGGACATCTCGGCCTTCAGCCCCCTGTTCTTTCTTTTTTCTTTCTTTTCCCTCCAGTTCTTTCTCTCCTTCTCTCTCCCTCTCTCTCTCTCACACACACACACAAACACACACACACACACACGTGTCTCACTACAAAGTAACAGCTTTACCCTGTGACCCTGCGTGCACCCTTGTCCCGGAGCCCTGGGTTTAACCCCAAAATGACTGGGTATTGCTGGGAGCGCAGGGTCGCGCGAAGGGCTCCATTCGCCACGCCCGGGCGGGACCCTCCCCACCCCGGCCGGCCGCCCTCCTTCCCCTCCGCTTCCCCGCGCGCCTCTGCTCTCCCCCCGGCCGTGCGCCCTCCCTCTGCGCCCACGCGCCGCCTCTCTGGCCCTCTCGGTCCCCGCCCGGGGCCGAGCTCGGACTGCGTTTGTCCCTCTCTGGGTTGAGGCATTGGCGTGAAGGGTTTGATGAGGCTTCGGCGAGACACGCAGCCCTGAACGCTCGTACACGCTGCGAGGGACACATTGACGTTCCCGGCTTCGCTTTCCCGCGCCGCGACACTTCGTAATTACCTGACACAATGCGATATGGGGGTGTCCATTGTTCCACTGCTTGTTATTGTGGAGTGTTCATTATGACAGCGGTGGAACTTAAAATTACACAATCTTTTTTAAGTGCTTAAAGATAGAATGAATTCGATGTGGAGATATGAGTAAGCTTTCCATTAAAATTTCAGTTTGGCCTGTCAAACGAGGCTCATTCTGGGTATTACATTGCCTGATTTGTATTTTAGCATTGTTTTGTTTCCTAAACGTCAAGTTAGAGAAATTTGGGAGCGCACTCAGGAGGGCTGAGCCCCTCCTCGTCGACGATTATGCCTTTTAGCATTATTTTGTTTCGTAAACGCCAATTACAAATACTTGAGCTTGTACCCAAGAGAACTGAGCAGCTCCTCTCGCCTCTTTCTGGAGGCAGCGAGGGGCAGCCGCACTGCTCCGCGTGGCTCGCTGGATCCCAGGCGAGTCAGGAGGCCAGAGGCAGCGGGCCGAACCAGGCTCGGCGCCCGCAAGGGGTCCGTGCGAAACACTTCCCCCAAGAAGACTTAAAAATCCTGGGGCGGTTATCTGGGACGCGGAAAAGTCGAAAGAGGAGGATTGATGAGGTTTTAGGGAGCGCTCTGCGATGCAGGCATCCCCTAATCCTGTGGCCTCTGGGAGCGTACCCAGGTATTCACAGGTTGTGAGCCCAAGTCTTCTGGCCGGGTCACGCAGCCAGCACGAGCCCATAACAGAGACCTACGGCGACCCCAGCAGCAAGGATGCGGAGAGAAGCCCAAATTTGTTTGCAGGAACACTACTCTCCCCTTCCCGGAGCGACAACACAACATTCCCGAGTGGGTGAGAGTGGGTGTATTTCGCAGTGAGCAATAGTATTCTGGTGCTGTTGCCGGAAGGGAGAGAAGAAGAGGAAGTCTTTTTGGTTTTTAACTCTGAATTTCATCCAAAACATCTGATAAATAATATGTGGGTTGGAATTAGTTTATTTTCTCTGTTTTGTCCTCTTGGTCTTTAATGAGAAGTAGCGAGAAAACTTTTTTGGACTTTTGAATATTCTAAAACTGTAGAAACATATGTTGTAAAGTGTACACAAAGAGAAGCTTTTTGTCTTCTGGAAACATATTTAAGTTCCCTCTGTTCCTTTGGTGCCAGAACCATTACAATTGATTCACTGTTGTTCAGCTGATATCAAATAACAGGTTATATACCCCAAGTCCTAAGATACAGTTTCACAAGTTAAGAATAAAATAAACAGAAAAGGTGCACTGTAGCCCAGAGTTATATTTAGAGGCAGTTATACTTCCTTTAAAGAAAATTACTTACTCTGCAATGGTTCAGGCATTTAATGAAAATGATATCAATCAGCCACCTGTTCCTTCACAGGCTTATGGTCCTCCAGAAAACTGAGGTGAGAACACTGTGTTAGAATCCACAATGCACATCTTCAGTGACAGAATGACAATTCACAAAGTGTGTGTGAGGAAACTTTCAGTCTAGAATAAACTTCAGAGCTAATAATTGTTACATCTTGTTAATGACAAGATGTAAGTTTCTTCAAATGTACTACAGATTAAGACAATGGTAACAAGAGTTGTTGCTTTAGGAATCTGGACGTACCATGAGTCCAATAATGTTCCCTGGGTAACTTCATACAGTCTGATCTGTGAGAGTATAACCCTGTGTGGATAGGAACAATCTCATACATCTCCTGGAAGAGCCACTCTTTCACTACTATGACTTACCCTTATGCTCTCCAATCACCAGCTCACACACACACACGTATACATTCAAGGCTCTGGACATAGAAAAAGTCTTCAATTTTCCCTTTATTACCCCTGCTAGTCACCATGACATGACAGGACGACACTTCATATATTCCCCAGGTATATTTTTGTGATTTCTTTTACTCTTCAAGGCTGCTCTTGGTGTTCGTTCTAGCCTGATTCGCCTAGAAAATACATCAGAGAGTGGATGGGAAGAAGCTAGGGTGAGCTGCCTTGGGGCTTTAACCTCTAGATTTGCTTCTTTGTTATCTCCAAGAACACCTAACTCAGAAGCCCAGTCCTCATGCCTGGTAAGGAATTAATAAATATTTGCTGATTGATTAATATGACATAATAACAAACTTACAAAGAGATTTTCCTATGTATTATTTGAAATTAATGACGTTCTTGAACAAGCTCTGTGATTTAGTCAAATATGGAGGCTAAAATACATGAAATAATTACTATGCTGAACACATTATAAGAATTACCTCCTTTAATAGTAACAAAATCCTATGAGGCATTGTTATCCCCATTGCACAGATGAGGAAACTGAGCCTTACACAAGCTAAGTTATTAACTCACAAGCTAGTAAGGATTGGGATTTGAATCCATAACTTTCTGTCCAAACCTAGATTTGGAGTTCTTGACCCTATGCTAATGTTCTTTAATGAATGCCTTTAACGCCTTTTAACAATCTACATTTTATCTAATCTAAGGGCCACGTTTTTCACATTTTAACATCTCTGAGATTGTGGTGTATCTTACAATAAATTCTTACAAGGATAAATGACAGCTTTTTTCCCCTGAATGGTGTATAAAATAGTAGGACATTTTCCAATCAATGGTGTATTTGGTTAGGTTATGCTGCAATAGCAAATCATCAGAAAATCTCAGGAACTTAAAACAACAAAGGTTTATGCTTGCTCACACAGAGTCTGTTGAAGATCGGTGTGACGCTGCATAGCAACTCTCCTCCATATGATGGCTTGGCATTGCACCTCCATGCCTGCGTGTGCTTCCACAGTCACTGCTGTGGGAGAAGATGGAGCCCTGGAGGATCTCTCACCAGCTCCAGCCTGGCAGTGACGTATGTCATTTCTGCCTCCAATCCGTTGGCTAGAATTAGTCATATGGCTCTGCCCAACTGCTTGGGAAGCTGGGAATTTTAATCCTCCCATGTTCCCCAGAGGAGAGGAGAGCTGGATATGGGTGAGCATTTTACATTTATACCACAAAGGTATCTTCATTCAATGAAATATAGTCATTAGGATCAATTAATGTACATATCGGGGGTCTATTTTATTCAAAAGCAGTGAGCAGTGACTGGCCTGTGATTTGTTATATTCCATTTTAAAACATACTTTCAAAGTTCATGCTGATGTTTAATTTCAAAGAACAAAATTCAGAATCAATTTCAAAAAGAATGTTATGAAACAGCATAACTGTAATGCAAGGGCTTCAACCAGAGTCCACAGATGAGCTGCCAGGGCTTTGGAACCTCCTGAAATCATATACAAAACATTTGGTGCATTTTTTCTGAGGAATCGACACATCTCTGTCATCAGATTCTCACTTGGGGTTCATCATTTATTCATTCATTTATTCAACAAATATGTATGGAGGGCTCACTATATTCCAGGCACTGTTCTGGATGCTTGGAATCCAGTAGCAAACACAAGACAAGTTTCCAAATCTCACAATGCTTATAGTCTGGAGAGGGGACAATAAATAAGCTAAACAAGTAATAAAGATAATTTTAGATACAGAGAGATGACGAAAGAACAGCGTGCTAGAGAGAAACTTGAGTAGGGTGGGTATAGGGATCGGGGGTCTGCTTTAGCTAAAATGGTCATGTAGGACCTTTATAACGAGAAATTTGACCTGGAACAGGAAAGATGAGAAGGAACTGCCCATGCAGAGATCTTGGAATCCTGGAGAAAAATGTTCTGGTCAGAATTTTAAAGGAGCTAAAGAACGGATGCATTCAGCATATTTGAGAAATTGAAAGGTATCT